CCACATTTGCACAATGTGTAGGTGCATTTTTCCTTTTGTGGTTGAAATAGCGCTGAATGTTTTTTTCTTCAGAGAAGTAACCTTTTCGAAAGTTATGCAATGTCTTAGAAATAAGTAGAACAATCTAAGTCCATTTGTTAAATGAATACTTGAATACAATTTTAAGAATAGTTCTTTAGAACCTGAAATTGGACATTATCTTCTTGTATTTTCCATTTTAATAGCATTCTGGTAATGGTTACGAAGGTTGAAGGAAGGAATATTACGAATGTCACTTCCCAACGAATAATCTGTGTATTTAATATACACTTAAGACTGTATTAATCGACTCTCTTTTCAATAAATGTACCCTTATACATTTAGTGACACTCATGTTTGGTCCGAAAAGCAAACCGTGAGCATATATTTTGTTAGTTGGACTCTTTCAATATTCGAACTGTTCGTAAAAAGTTAGAAAAAAGTTGAAAACCTGTTGATATTTTGGCGAACAAACGATGTCTTCGTTATATTAACGAAAGACCGTTTCGGAGATGTGAAAGGAAAGACATCGGGGTTTCAGATCACAGAGTAAGTAAAACCAGGGTTGTCCAGTTCATTCGACATTCGATTTTGCAAATAAATGAAAATTTTTGGAGATGAATGTAAATGTTGATGGATATAATAATTTTGAAATTGCTCAAAACTGAAAATATGTTTTGGGTCCTCATATACGAACTTTTCATTACAAGTTTTCGTTAGGAAAATTTCGTCAATGTTTATAGGAAATATTTACTAATAATGCACATTTTTATTAATATTTGTTTGTTAGTAAAAAGGACACATGATCAGAAGAAAATGAATACGAAAATAATAAAACGTAGATCATATTGATTAAATATTTCGAAATTAAAATTGATAGTGATTTTTCGTGTTTCGTTAAGTTTCAAACGCCTGAGTGATTGTATTAATATTATGTCACCTTTGAATCGATTGATATACGAAACAAGTTTTTCAATTTTTTATTTTTTTTTGTCATTTTTGTATCAGATTTCAATTATTAAATTAAGGCGAATTGTGCACAAAATTTCAAGACTGCTGTCAGATATTGTTCCAACTTTACAACCCTGGTTAAACACGTAATTCAAGTCATAAAACGAATAATCTCAGAGATTATTCACGCCTAATATTCATTATATGGTTTGTGTAAGTGGTTTTCCTTATTAATGTTTGGAGAACTTAGTGAGGACTGTCTTATGAAGGTGGTTTGGATTAAGATAAATAAGTGCAAAAATAGGTGTTATTCGCAATTTGTAGGAAAAATTGAGTTTTGGTCAATGCCCTTTACATGTAAGTTAAAAATGACGAATCGCAGGAGTGAGACTTTGGAGCATAATTCAAATACTTTACAAATTCAATTAATAACGTCTTCTCCTCAGATGAATATTTTACATATCTCTTTTGTTGTGGAACACTATACTTATTTATCTTGGATAAATTTGAAATGCCTCTCTCATTACTAGCTACAGATCAACTTATTTTAATATATTTTATTACCATTAATAAAAATAATAATAATTTTGTGGCTTCATTAAGAGGTTACGAATTCAGATTTTTCAATGCGTTGCAAAATCGAATTGTGTACATTCTTACACGTATGTTCCGGTATTTTTTACTAGTTGTAATGGGAATATTAAAAATTTGTGTCTACGAGAGGAAATGAGACCACTTAACTAAAAAGCTAATGAGAAGAGATTTTTAACATTCTCGGGGAAGTGCGATATCCTTCTGATCGATGAATGAAAGCGCTATGGCACCCGAGCGACGATTTTCCGTTTTTCCATTGCGATATTTTTATCGCAGAAAACAAGTCATAGAAGTGAAAAATACGTATTTCAATTATTGAGGATGAGGACAAGAAACGAACGTTTTAGAAGTGACGAAATACCCTGAATAAAAAAATATAAACACGCAAGTATTAAAAATATCTGGTGTTTTTTCCGGCACATCCACGAGATTCCTAAAAATCCCTTCCCACGACACAGCACGAGGGGGAATATTCGTTCGGAGTGACTACTAAAGGGAGTTCTGAGTTTTGCGTCCCTTCAAGAGGTATCCCCATTTCTAGTCGGGATGAAGAGAATGCAATGTAACCACGAGTTGTAGAAAAGGTTTTTCAGATTCAAATGCAGTTACTAGCGGGCTGCAGAAATCATGAGCGGGCGCGTGGGGTTGGCACTTCTGTTTGCTTTCAGCAACTTCGGAAAAAATGGTCCACCACATCACGAAAGCACTCGCTCCCAGAAGTAGACGAAATGTGGTGACAAATTTAGAAACATAAGGACCAAGAAAATGCTGAGATCATGTAAGATTGATCGGGTGTTAAAATGCAGGACCTGTATTGTGTGTACCGTATACATGAACAGTATGTGTTGAGCAAGAGAATTCAGAAGTATGGAAGCAACATTTATGTACTGTACTGTCAGACTGACAGGACGTTCTGTTGGATACCAGCGCTTCCATTTCACTTCCACTACTTCTCGGTGGACTTCCTGTCAGTTTGTTTTGTCGGGAAGGGGCACTATTGTATGTATAGTGACTCATTCACAATGGTACACAAACGGAACTATACACAAACATAAAAACTTGTCGCCATTGCTATTCGACGAGGCCATTCAGAATGGTCGGGTAAAAATGTCACATTCCCTCAACGGGTATGGTTCTTTAGGGCTTATTGGAACTAAGGGAATGAAGTTTCTAAACTTTAGCAATAGTGTCACCGACTTACTCGGTCTGGGCTTTTTCCAATCTCTTTCCTCTGATGTTTTACTTGTTGACTTTTCGTTTGCCGACGCCAGTGGGAGCTCTACGGCTTGTTTACATCAGATCACCATCTTCTGACTTTCCAATAAACGAGTCTCTATCTACAGCGCGAAGTAGAGTGCCGCAAAACAAAGGATGAAATATCGTGCGAACTGTGCGTGTAGAAAAAAATAATAAAAATCTTTCTCACTCACGCGCGACATTTACGATTAGTTTACTGAAATATACCTTCTTGACGTAATTGACATAATTTAATATAATTTATAAAAAATATACAACAAAGTTGGACATAATACAAATTGAGATTAAATTTGGAGTCTATATGTAGAGTTAAAATTCCAGGCACTGTACCTGTGGCTATATTTGGGAATGTTTGACAGTTGTCGATTACGTGTTCGATCGCATGATTTCAAAACAGCCGTAGTTCCGATATCTGACACCAGCAAGCGTCAAGTGAACAAGTAACGCATCGAAACGTCTGAGGCAAGGAAACACGCTGCACGCATTCCAAGTGTTTTTGACGTTTAAAACTGAAAAAATCCTGCGACCCCATAGGGACGGAAAACTCGGAACTCTATACAGTCTGTAGTAGTCCCGGCGGGTTAAGGCTCATTCACAAGGAGATGTAAACGTAACATTAAAGTAAAAGTTTGTTGGGATGTTATCCAACCGAACCATTCATTGCACGAACCATTAAACGTAAACGCAAAAGCTAAGAAATCTCATGATTTCGCATTCACGCTAAACCGTTTTGAGAAACACACTATCGAGGACATGTAACGAGAACTAAACGTATTCCTTCAACAGAAGCCAATGCAATGTGTAAGACAATAAAGCGCGTTTTCCCATCATCGCCTATGAGGAAACTCTTTGAAATTCAAGGAAAAATTAATCTCAGGAATTTCACCATGATCGCTTTCGCTTTACCTACCCTCGTTCGTTTAGATATTAAATTTCTGGACGTAATCTTTATTGCATCGAGAGGTTATTATTTTGAGAAACGTTTGTCTTCACGTTTACGTTTATGATAATTGTAAATGGAACGATGGTGTACAAATTAAAATAGGATTTTCCACCGTCCTCAATTTTGGATAAAGTCAAGCAATGTTACGAGTCGTTTTCTCATATTGCAATTAATATATATTTTCCAATAGACACGAAATAAAATATAAATAATTTTCAATAATGCTCCCGCTTATCTGAAGTAATTATTAAATGACGTCCAATTATTAAACTGAATTTGCAAGGTTCTTCAGGATCACGAATATTAAAATTATATCAAACATAAATATATTACTACGTTATATTGCTCGTATATATTCATGGCTGATGATCAGTTTTTCTTACATGTTCATTTTGTATTTGGAAGTTTGGCAGCGATTGATTAAGGAGCATTTGAACAGCGAATCATAAAACGATACGATACACGTTAGAGGCATGGTATCACTTGTTACGTGGAAAGTGTTAAAAGCGTTTTGTAAGACGTTCGTTATGACAACGATAAATGGAAGTTGTTTCTTACTGTGACAACACGGCGTGCTACTAACTCTAAATTCCCTTAAAGACAACTCCTTTCAATTCGCACGTGTTAGATCAGAGCTGTCCACCAACATATTGCCTCACGGGAATATATTTAACAACACACTCCGCCACCACAATTGAGAACAAATTCCTCATACTGTCGCCACATGATTTGTGTCGTGTCGTTTGTGTCGTATCGCATCACGACCTAATTCACTTATCGCTCGTATCGCATCACGACACAAGTCTCGTACTGCGCGTATCGTATCACACGTCACAAGTCACGTGATTACATTCGATAACTCCGGTAAAGTGTCGTTTTCCGATACAACGATGACGTACCGTGGCAGTTCGCGCCTGCGCAGGGGGATATCAAACCCTGGTTCGTTTCCTGCACAGTGCTTCGCTCCTCGCTCAAACCCTCCCAGCGCTCCCCTTTGTGAATGAACCTGTAACCTGGAGTGCGTTCAGAAAGCGGCCAGCGCCGCCGGGCGCCGCGCGAGCGACGGAGGGGTGGGGGCGGACGCGTTTCGAGAGCGCCCTGGGCTACTTGGCTGCGCCCGCGCAGGGCAGCGGCCAGATCGAGCATCGCGCGACCCCGTCGGGGGCGGCGGCGGCGCTGGAAGCGACGGAGGCGGCGGTGGCGGCGGCGGCGGCGGCGGTGGAGGCGGAGGCGGCCACTACCTGAGCAGGCAGCGGGTCTCCAGCGGCAGCGGGCTCTCCGAGTGGCGGTGCAGGCTCAGGTCGCGGTGCTCCTGGCGCGCGCAACGAGACAGCCACTCAGAATAAATGTCTGTTTCGCCCTCTGAATGATGCGGGGTGGGCGGCAGAGGACGAGTGCGTGTGCGAGCGCGAGTGTGAGAAGTGCGGGTGTTAAGGCCCATTCACAATGCAAACATAAACATAAGGATAGCGTTAAAATAAAAGTTACGACTACGTCCATAAGCGGACACATTTCCAATGCGTTCGCATAAGCATAACACGTAAGACGTTAACTTCAAAGCTTGCAAGCTTCAGACATGTGTTTATGATTATGTAAGTTACAAGAAATAAGCCAATCACAGAATGTTAAATCAAAATAGAGAATCGAAGTCGTTAGTCTAACTAACCCCATATGGGACAAGAACACAGTCCATATCGCGAAATCGATTCTCACATCCAACCAATAGTAAACTAGAGTGTCTCACAACCAATAGAAACTCTTATTTTGCTTACGTTTATGTTAGACATTGTGAACACATCTGTCCATCTCCTTTGTTAATGTTTACGTCTGTGCGTTAAGCTTCTGTTTACGTTTCCATTGTGAATGGACCTTTAGGCCAGGGTGGGAACGAGGGTATGGCCAAGAGCTAAGGTGATGGGCAAGGGCAGGGGCAAAGCTAAAGGCGAGTGAGGGTGTGTGCAAAGCTGAGGGCGTGGGTGATGGCACGAGTGAGGGTGAGGGGAGGGCATGGGCGAAAGAAAACTCGAGGATGTGGACGATGGAGTGGATATGGGCGAGGATGAGGGCGAAGGCGAGGGCGTGACCGACGTTGTGATCGTGGGTGAGCGTGTCGGCGAGGGCATGGGCACGGGCGAGGGCGACGGCAAGAACGTGGCGATCGCATGGACGAGGGTGGGGAAGGGCGTATGCGAAGGAAAACTCGAGGACGTGGGCGAGGGCATGGGCGATGGCGTGGTCATGGGCGAGGATAAGGGTGAAGGCGAGGGCGAGAACGAAGTTGTGAGCATGGGCGGGTGCGTGGGAGAACGTGTCGGCGAGGGCGTGGGCAAGGGCGGGGGCATGGGGTGGACGGGC